TTGTGGTCCTCCTCTGGACCCTCTCCAACAACTCTCTTTCTTTCATGTACTGGGGGCGCCAGACCTGGACACAGTACTCCAGATGGGGCCTCATAAGAGCAGGGCAGAGGGGGACAATCACCTCCCTGTCCCTTTTGGCCACCCCAAAATCAACATACATCATATTTAGAGAGATACTATGAATATTTTGTAGAATTTGGAAAAGAGAAGAGAGGTTTCATAGTTTTAAATTTCTTTTCTTAATAGTTACAGGCCAAATTATTTCCTAGTATGCAATAATTAACCTGTACTCCAGAAATGAAACAAGACCAGCTTATCCTAGCAGAAAACCTCTCCTCTTTTACTACAACAACATCAAAATTAAAGGAAATGCAATGGACTTTCTTAATATGTACAAGCCATTCTTAGCCACTCAGATAGCTCAGTATTTAGCTCATGAACAACACTGCTAAGCCTACTAAAGATTCATTCTGTAAAAGTCTAATTTATTACAGGGTGGTATTCTTCCCCATCTCCTTCTCTTGCAATTTAAAAATCTGACTTTACACACTACAGGTTTGGAGCAGTGTCTTTGAGAGGGAGAAGGAGGGGGGAGGATTGGACAACTGCCCAATTTCATATGATAAAAGTGAAATTCTCTTCTGTCTGCAGAGTAATCCCCAGGGAACAACGTATGAAACCCAAACTTAAATAAAATCATATCCTGTTTGCAAACATCATATTCCCTTTGCTACTCAGTAATCTGGACCCATAAACCCCAGCACAGCTTGAGAGCCCATTCCTCATCTAAACAAATGCCATAAGCCCCTTTATACTTTTACAACCATGTCAGAAAATAATATTGACTGCCAATAGTGATGTGATTGGAGTTGCCTCCTCTGAGCCGTAAAAGAAGCAGTCTGTTATCAATTTCTCTAAATGCATCAAGGGAATTATGGGTCGGTTCAGTTCCAAGTTATAAATGACAATTCAAAAGCCGCAGAAGTGTTTGAAGCTGGGAGCCGATGATGACATTATCATAAAAGACTGCTCTTCTTTGCTTTTGTGGGTTTTTTTGCCGATCAACTAGGCAAAAAAATACGGCTGAGAAATGACTTCAAGATTTCTTCACACAGCAGCAGGTCAAACAGGCAGGAAAACAACCACTATTTTTAGTGACAGAATAAGGCAGAGATGAAACTTGCTCCCATTAAAAGTACATTTCTGCTTCTTTTTTTGTCATTTTCGCAGCAGAAGAGTAGGAATTGCAATAGATGGATGCACTGACCAAATGATCAGTTATATCTCTAGTGGCTGTTCACAGAAGAAAAATTATGACATTTTCTGATAATTTGCAGGACCAGAAAGTAATTTGTGATTGTTCTCCCCATTTGGCCATTTCACCCGCAATTTACCCACCTCCTGGAAACCTTTCCACATTCCAAACCTCTGACAAGCTACAAGAAAAATCTGTTATTATTAGAAATGTTGGCTATAGAGCTAATAGTGTCTCTTTAGTGCAAGGAATCACACCGCCCAGTATTAGAACTCTTTAATAACAATTAAGGCTGTTGCAATGTTGAAACTGAAAAAAAAAAAAAACCAACAGAATAAAAAACATTACTGCAAAAAGGAAGTCTCATACTTCAGCAGACGTGTTGCTAACTTTAGATAGTTCTCAGATGAAAAATGAACTGTCATTGAAAGAAAACCTGTTATGGGTAAATTTAGGAGGTCAGATATAGACTTCCTTTTTTCTATATATATTAGATCTGTTCACTTTCGCTGTCAGTATAAGTTATCTTTGGATTCTTGGATAGGGAGATATTTATTAGTTGTTCTGTCTCTTATTCGTACTTTTCTTTCCTTCTTCTTCAGAAATCCTGGCAAGTAAAATTCAACAGTGACTCCAACTTAATTAGTCACTATCACTTGAAAATATATTCATAGAGGTGAAAATTCTTTACTGAATCAGTAGCTTTAAATGTATCGATGCAAACAATTCAGAATTGCAATGGAAGAGCACTCCAAAATATCAGAACTTTTTTTTTGGAAAAAAATCAAAATTCTTGATAAAGTTTTCTTTTTCTGCAATTGCAAAATCCAAAAAAAAAAAAAGAGGATTCATCATCTTGGCAGCAATTTATTAGTGCTATTAGAACAGATAAAGATGACAACAAAATCAACAATATAGTGGAATTTAGGGTTGAAGAAGTTAGTTGCACCTTTAAGTCCTTTCAGGACAAGGCAAGCCATCCAAGTTCATGCCAATAATCTTTATTGCCCATTGGTTCATTATGCCTACGATGCCTATGAAGTCTTAAATTCTAATTCTTATTCCAAGAATAGTTCACATTTTGTCAACGTGATTCTTTCATGTGAAATATATAAGCTTTGTGAAAGAGGTGCTAGGACTTCACTTTATTAATGTATGATAGATAGATTATATACTTAGACACATGGCCTTTGCTCCCTCCTGTGCTCTGTCTTATTGGCCCAGTGCTCCTTTCAACAGTGGTGCAGGTTTAGTGTGCTGTGAGGGTCCCCACCCAGAAACAATTTATGATCTCCTCAGTAATAACAACATTCCTTAAGAAATGGGAACTCTGATATTAAATACAACCTGGCAGGGAAGAGAAATAATCCTAGATGGGAACATCTCCTGTCTGAGTAGTTTAACCACACATATATGTAATAATAGAAAGGCTCACTAATAACAGTCAGCAAGGTTCCCATATCTCTGTGGGAGAATCAAGAGAATCAAGAGAAAGCTATAAAGTATTCTGCAAGAACTGAGGTCTTTTTCTTTTTTTTTTTTTAATAGCCTTTCTCACTGTCTTATTTAGTAAACAAATAATTAAGCAAGGAAAAAAAAAAAAACAACAAACACAGAAGATAAGAAAAAAATTAAATGATTCTATGCCTCCTCACAGTCTTTGCATGAACTATGGCATTCATTCTGATTACTGCTTCATAACCCTCAACTAAGTTGAAAACCATTAAATACCAATGTTTCTTCTTTCTCTCTACCATCTTTTTTGAATATAAATGTAGGAATTGCTTTCCAGGCAGTTTGAAGCAGCTCCCTTTCCCAGAGCTCATCTTAACCAACAGACAGTTAAATATCACTGAAAGAGAGCTCCTAATCTGATTATTTACCTTGAAAAAGGTCACAACCCATTTCTTTAAGAGGCCCACAGTAAGGCTGACAATAATAATGCATAGAAAGGGAAACCAACTAGAAAAATATAAATAAAGGATCTATTTCTACAATAGCTTCTTTAATCCATTTTCCATGATTCTAAATCAGAAATAAAGCAAAGAGACTCAAGAAAGTACAGATAAATTTAAGTGTTTAAAGAGCTAATTTATGCTGAGCATTACTATCTTGTGTTTTCCTTACAGTGGGCAACACACTTTCATTACTAAAAGGATTTCAAAGGATTTCAAACTCCATTTCTATTTATGATATTTTAGTACTAACTCACCCATGTCTCAATAACATGTTTCGTGGAAAAATCTTTTATAGCTTTATTTTCAAAGCATACCCCAGTCCAACTGACTTTACAAAGCCCTCAAAAAGAACTGTCAAGAAATTTTGCACCAGCTTTTCCTTGCTCAGAAGTCTCAATAAAATTCTTTCATAACATCATCCATCTCCTGCTTAATCGTCTCTAAACATCTTGATTACTGCAGTAACTGTGAAAAAATACCTTGATGACAATTAATTTCACCTTTTTTATAGATAAATTTGTGTACACAAGCGTGTGCATGCATCTGTGTACACAGAAATGCACGGAGGCGCATGTGTACGTGCATGTCTGCATGACTTCATGTAATGTTAGGTGATCCATACAAAGGAATGATCTCCAATTTTCAAGTATAGCAAGTTGTTAATCACCAAGTGCCAGATTTTGATTAGAATCTTTAGAAAGCTTAAATCCACAATAAAGGAATTTGATTGAGATCCTTTCATTCTCTGTAACTCACAGTACCTTGAACATTACTAAATACTGAAAACTCAAATGGAATTGTTGTTGAGAGTTAAAATCTTACAACATATATTTTATTTGTCAAGTATCTCATTATTAAAAAAAAAAAAAAAAAAGAAGCTATAAACAAGATTACTATGTCATGGAACTTATCCTTTGTGAAGGATAAAAGTAAATAAAATATTAGAAATTTGTATTGGAAATTGAGGTATATCTCTGATTTCATTCCAGAGATTGTGGTTTTACTGAGAAAGAGCAAAAACATCCAAAAACCTAAAGCATATAGCGTCACTCAGACAGCCCATCCATACATAGTAATATCAGCATTTTGATTTCACTGACATTAGTAAATAATGCACTGAGCTGAACTAGATGTGTGGAAAACTGCAGTGTGGGGAAAAAAAGAATGAAAGTGGGGGGAAAAAAAAGAAAATTCATGAAACACCTGTACATGAAAAAGGATTTATCCTGCTATTATCTTCCCTTGAATTTAGTATGAGCATGACATCAAGATCAGTAGAAATTCTCCATTCTAAATGCTTTCAATAATTTGGATTAATTGTTTACCTACTGTTTCAACACATTATTATCTATAAATTTTTGCCCATTGAATACTAATACTCAACGCCTGTATTTCAGAATAATTTGTTCTGGTAATCTGGTACTTTTTTTTTCTGCTCTCTGAGCAATGCAGAGCTATATTTACTTTTCAGCAATACATGAAGCAGCTTCATCAAATTTCATTTTGCTAGAAGAAATTGCACACGTTACTTTTCTCAAAAATAGATCACACGCGAAAAAATAAACCACACTTCCACAAAACATGTTCCTACCTGTTTCATACGCTTATAGCAATATATTTTACTCATGTATTTGAAAATAGTAAGATAATGTCCAAGAATTCCTCTCTAGATTTATCAACCTCTTGTGAATTTGAATTTTTAGTAAAACAGTGCTGTGGAATCTATGAATTAACACATTTGTTGTGTGCTGTCTTCTCTTGAAAGAAACAACCAAACATCTACTTACCCCAAGTCCTCCACAAGGCAGCAAGGAAAAGAGTTTTTGAGACACGTTTCCTATATATTGAAAAAAAAAAAAAAAAGAAACAGTAAGTATCAATTATCAAAAAATCAGTTGAGTACTGGATCAGCAATCTCTACTGTAATTCTGATTTCTGAATTTAAGCATCACAAAATGAAAATAAAGAACTCGATTAATACCTCAAAAGCAAATGAGCCATGGGACATTTAAATTACTTTTTTTTTGCAACAGTGACAAATCCTAAGATTGGTATGCAAGGGTTTCTAACGAGTGTATAGGTAATGAACTCAATTTCGCAGAAAATCACTCTGAACTAGGGCTGGTAGTCAACCTGGTATCTTTAGCTGCTGAAAAGATAAGCAGCTTGCCTACGCTACTCATCTCAGCTTATTACACAGCCAGTGAAGTGAGGTAGGCATCTCTCCCCAGCCTTGATGATTGTTGAGATGAATCGTACTTTAGAAGTGCCTATTTCTTTTCACTGACAACAGAGGGAACGTCATTAAGCTTCACATGCAACTGATGACTATTTCTTAACTTCAGCTCTCCAAAAAGTTTATCCTTCGAAAACTGCTGTCTTCATCTTCTTAGCTATTCAAAAGTGGGTCTCGTTTTTTTATATCCCATTAATGAATATTTTGTTATTTTTATTTTTATGTTTTAATATTTTAGAACATAACATGAAATATCTTTTTCATTATTTATGCCAGTAATACTCAGTGTATACATTCTACCAAAGGGAACATAAACTTAATAGGTTTTAGAATCTAATTTCTAGCTTATTATGCTTTATAGATAATGTGATAAAGTTAATAATTATAATCACTTTTTATTTGTTCACATTTTCTTTTTTTGAACGACTAAACTCATTGTTTCTCTTGATAAGGACGATCTCAAAAAAGAATCTCAGGACTTGACTTCGTTCTTATTCAAGTATGTAATCTGATCCTAAGGCAGCTGTGGAAGAGAATGCAGACTTTTCTTCTGCCATATCACAGAACTGGTTTTGTGGCTTTGCCATATGGAGGAAGCGTTAGGTAGTGAATCACTCAAGTTACCAAGAGGAGCCACCCATTGTTATGGAAGGGGCAAACACTGCAGTTACTCATGTTTAGCAGGTGCCAATGAAATGTATAAAGACAATTATAAGCCATCATCTTTGAAGTATGGGAGACCAGACTGAAAGGTCTGAGATGAAGAAAGTGCTTTATGCTTTGAGTAAAATCCAAGATGCATTTTTAACAGAGTAGAGGCCTTTGATCAGTTTGCACAGTGTGCTAGAGAAGCGAAACAAAACCTCCCGTGGAGCTACCAGGGAAATGCAGGTGCAGCGGCTATGCAAAGTTCTCGTACTGCGAGTCCTAATGGCCTCAGACACACAAGGAAATGTTTACTGACAAAGACTGTCAGAGCAGAGGTATGGAAGGATTTTCCAGATTTCTTGCTAAGCAGATCCAGGGACCAATGTGAGCAGCAGTTTTTCACTTTTTGCTATGGGGAAGATCAAAAAGTCTTGAGCAGCTAACTAAAAAATTAGTGCTGTTAAAGTGACAGATGTTAATAGAAACACAGACTGAAATTCGAGATAAAAGGAGGTGTTTTTAGAATATTGAATGATTAGACTTTTTCTTAAATTCCATTGCATAAGAGAGAACAGATGAATTCTCATTTATCTCCATGCAGCAGGGCACATTGTACATGGTAAACACTATTAAAAACAACAAACACAAAGGGGAAACAGAAAAGCAGATGGTGAGGAAAGACACTAAAATCAATCAACGGATAGCATTAAATCAGAGAAAAACAATCATAAAGCCTTTTCAGTTCATCAAGAAATTTGCCAGGATACTAACTTCTTATTGCACAAGAGCAAAAAAGCTGAAGATGATAGAATTTTCAAAATAGGAAAAGCATCAAGAATTCATTAAAAGAACGTCAGGAAGATCTGCAGTAAGACAGAGAGAGGGAGAGACCATCACTAGACTATCCTCTAAGAAAGAAAGGAGCTCACAACACTTGTCTGAAAATGAAAACCCTGAAGATGAATAGTGAGAATTGTGCTTGGAGTTGTTGCCTCAGCTGAATTTGATAAATAGTTGATATTTCCCAGTGTTACCCTTTCTTACTTAGGATACATCCAGCATAAAACAATAATAGAAATAAGACATTGAGATACTTCAGTAGGTGAGGACAACTCCAAAAATAATACCTCTTATTTTAGTATGTTGGCCACAGCATCAGAGGCAAATAGTGGTGCTATGGCACTAAGAAGATGAACCTTCCTACCAATGTTCTGTTACATGTTGTTGCTGTGTGACAGATGGCAGCAGAGGGGCTGTCTGATAAAATGGCATCTGACTTAGAAAAGGGAATGAAGCAAAGGTGTGGAAATCAATTCCTCTGTGCACAAAAAAACATCAACTACTGACATTCTCCTATCCTCCTGAACATTTATGGAGAGCAAACTGTGGAGGTGAGCACAGAGAGGTGGTGAATTTCAGCAGAGGTGACAGAAATGTGAAAAACAAGCCATGTTCTGGATGGCCATGCAGGCTTTGATGAGCATGGCATGCAAGGTCTTGCACATCACTGGAAGAAAATGCATAGCTAACAGTGATGAATATGTTGAAAAATAGTGTTTTGTAGCTGAAAATTCACTCTGTCCAGTAGTTTTAGTGTGGTCTTTGTGTCTGTTGTAGTTTTCATCAAAATAAATAGAAAGCATTACTTTCAGAGTGACTTATGTCAAAGACGAATGGCTTTGTATCATGTCAGTATTTGCAGTCACAAGCAAATCACTTTACAAGAAAGATCTAGAGAAGATTCACCACAAAAATTCATAGGTAGAGCTAGAAATATTGTACTCAAAAATGTCAACCCATGAAGGTAGTAGGAGCTGGTTATTCAAACTGGGTGGCCAAGCAGGAAACCCCTATAGAAGCCAAGAATACCACTTTTGAGATTTGCTATTCAGAGTCTGAATGAGAGTCTGATGAGCAAGAAAAGTGATGGGAAAACGCTCCCTTTCTGGAAAAACAAAACAAAACAAAACGTATACACAAAAAAAACAAAACAAAACAAACACACACAAACACACACAAAGAAAAAACAAAACAAAAAAACCACCACCCCCACCAACAAAAAAAAATCCACTAACAATGCGTCTACTTGTTAAAAGGCACCATTTAGTAAAAAGCAATGTCAGTTTGAGGAATCTGCTTGCTTCCAGAGTCATCCTTTAAGAACAAAGACATTTTTCCTAAGGAAGTAATTGCAGATGCAGAGATGCTCTATAAATGCATCTCTTAGTTGTACTTTAAATATTGCCTCGCTGTCAGGGATGTGTTGACAGGGTATTTCCCACTTTTAAAAACTTGTGATCATAGGAAACTTGATTTTTAGAAACACTTTATTAATTATGGTTGAGGAGGTAAAAAGCAATCAAACTGTTCTGCCCTTGAGGTCATTCAGAGAGGTATGAAAGATTGTATTCTGTCACATGAAACCATAATGTGATGTGACACACAGTCTCCATATTAGTTTCATTCATGTCAAGAAAATGTAATGCAACATAACATGTTGTTTAACACACCACAGTGAAATATGATCAGTTAAAAGCTAAACTGCATGATAGTGCAAAAATTGAAGCAATCATTTGCAATAGCTGCTTTGGCAACCCCTGATTTGGAGAAATAAAGCCAGGAGTTCAAGACAGTTTATACTCTGAAAGCATGAAGAATATGTGGACAATATCTATGTGCACAATTCTCACCAACTTCAGTAGTTCACAGCTGTTTTACTTCACAGCCTTCCAGAACAGAGAGTTTTCGTTAACAGAGAAATCAGCACTTATTGACAGGTAGCACATTTCTAGTTCTAGTCATTCAATATATTTTGTTCCTTCAGGTGTTTCTTTTCTATTTACAAGAGACAGAAACTTCATGTGAGCAAGAAAAGACCTTAAGAAAATGCAAGTGTCCTCTTCTGAGCAGGGACAGGGAACAAATGTTTTTCTGAGACTTAAATGAAGAGTGAAGTGTGACTCTGTCTTTTTTAGTGCACAGAGGAGTAAGGGAAGGAAAAAAAAACCCTTTTCATTAGAATGCAAAACCATAATCTGATGGAACAATTGCTGTAGGAAAAAAAATGCACTTTACTTGAAATGGGAAAGTTATGAGATGATGTTGTTATTGATGACATTTTTGATGAGAAACATTTCCTTTAGATTTTTCTCCTTCACTACACATCATTTTGAATATTCGTACCATACCAAGATGTTAATTTTAATGTCAGCATTGTTTAGGTTCAACCACACTGAACTGGGGACAATGGGAGATGGAAGTCACACTGCATTTTGGAAAAATGTAAAAGAAAAGTAAGTTATTTTATATAGGAGAATGAAAGCTTAAATGGTTATAGTTTCCAGCCAAAAAACCAGGCACATGCAAAAGCATGTAGGAAGGGTGTTTAATTGACCATTGTCTTCGTAAAAGGCCTTGCAAGAGGCAGCAAGAAAACATCCTACAGAGACAGAAAAGGGTATTCACCAAAGATACACTCAGGATATATGCTAAAAGTGTGATCTCGATATAAACTCAGAGTAAATGTTCTGGACTGAGTGCCAGATGACAAAGGCAAAGAGTGTTGAGCAAAGAACTGTGAACAAATAAATGGATTTTGAGATTCGGTAAACAGAGCCTTCTGCATTCTGTATACATAGGTAGAAACACAGCAAGAGTACCTGGGTTCATTACCTTTTTGACTCCATAACTGAAACTACACTACTACTGCATCCCATATAACAGTCCAAAATGGGAACAAGACTTCATATAAATGTATGTTATATTAAATAATGTAAAAATTAAAATGAAATGAATTAAAATAAAGAAAATCTAAATGAAATGCTTGACTCTATCAAAACGGAACATTTTGACAATGTTGATGAACCCAAATCAAAATGTTTCCAATTCTTCATTTTGCAGGAATTTAGTGCTTATTTGTTTGTTTGTTTGTTTGTTTGTTTGTAGTGCGGATTTCCTACCTTAAAAATTCTAGCTTCTAATAATCTATCATGTTGTAATTATTTTTTAGCTTTGATTTTGTTTTGTCAAACATGTATAAACTTAGATGTTACTGTGATCAGTATATTTCTCCTATCTACTTTTATGGCTCACTGAAGCCACAGTTCACCTTATGGAAGGAACTCTTTCCAAAGCAAAATAATTGCTATGTATTAATAAAACTAGAACAGCAATTTCTTGATGACTAATGTTGTGGTTTTTTTGGGTTTAGTTTTATTACACTTAGGCAAATCTCCACATTTTAGGATATATGTATTAAAAATAGCAGAGAATGTGTTTCATCTTGTGTGCGAGGATAAAAAAGGCAGGATTTCATTCACAGATTATTTTCAAAATGCTCTATTTTTTTTTCCTTTCACATCACTGTAGCAGGTGTGAGAAGAGGCTCTGTTTCTTGCACTTGTCATGACAGTGCCCAGTTTAACCTTACTTCTCTACTATGAAAGCTTATGATGAGCATTGGCTGTTCCTGAAGATATTTTATAAGAAATCTTGACAGTTTTATGGCATTCTGTATATTCATAGGTCCATTTAATATTTTAATAAGTCTATTCCCCATTCTTCAGAAATATATGGTATTCTGCATAATGGGAAGGCATTAAAATAAAGTTCATAGCACTTCATAACAAGACTCAGGCATGGTATGTGCACTTAGCATGGCTGAAGTCATTGAAATAAAGCAAATGAGAACAGCAAACAAGCAGTTCTGACAAGCAAGTGTATCTTAAACTCTCATTTTCAAAGCAGAGAACACATGGAGATTGAAGACCATGTTCAAAATTGCCATCGATCTCTGATGGAGAACAAATTACAATAAAGGGTTAATTTTTTGACAATTTTGAAGCAAATGAGAAGAAACTTCTCTTTGTGCTTTCCAGCCTGCGCATTCTGCTAATCTATATTTGGCTTCCATTGTGACATTCTCCTTCCACATAGCAATGCATTTGGAAAAAGTGAATTTTTGTCACACTGCTTGCCAAGTATTTTAAACTGACACCAGCTATGACTAATGACAGTGCTGGAATGTGCTGTTCTCAGTAGAATAGAGGCCTGTACAGACCTAGGAGTTTCCTGGGGTCCAGCTTCTGTCTGTTCAGGGGGCTGGTGCCATACAGCAGTGAATGATGTTCAGAGTGAACCAGCTGTATTTCCTCCAGACTGGCTTTTCGACCTCGAATTCGCTGAAAGAAAACAGCAGAGGCCTACAATATTCCACTGACAATATTTAGGGAAAAAAAAAGAAAAAAGAAAAAAGTAAAGGTTTGAAATAACATTTAGTATGATTAATAATGGGTTGAAATTGTGTCATGCAGGAATGTGACACTGATTTGTTTATTAAAGTAATGCTATATGAAAAACAAATGCTTGTGTGGTTTATCACAAATGCTTAAGTTGTAGCAGAGTTAATAAAGGATTTCAAATACAAGAGAAAGAAAAGATCCTGACTCTTCTATGTATTATTTTAAGAAATACAAACCAAAACAGAAGATATTTCTTAAATCAGACAGTTGACTAGAAAATGTCGTGTTTAAAGAACAAAACCTTATTCACACCTGTAAGCTGCAGATGTGTTCTGAATGCAGATTTATGGTTTTTTGTAATTACTGCAATTTATGCTGCTGGGAGAACATGATCACTTTGAAGAGAGCCAGGGAGAGGAAGAAAATTAGCATTTACATTCTTAAGTAAAATATTTCTCTGTATTTTTATTTTTAGAATGTATGTTTGATTTCTAAGGGTCATTTTTCTTGTTGCAGATACTGACCCGCTTACTTACTTTTGTTTTTATAAGTGAGACTTGTCTCTTTAACTGTTTCGCCAGCTTGCAGTCTCCTCATTTAACAGTGTTAAAAAAAAAAAAGAGGGTGGGACTATTTTTATAAATCAATTGCGCACATTTAATCACTTTAAAAAAGGGAGAAAAAGTAAGGCTAATTCTTTTTATTCGGTAGATCTATTCCTTGTATATGTATATGGAGTTACAGCCTGTCATAAAAGTATTTACTTATCTGCCAGTGCAAGTGCCTTTGCAAACAACAACATGAAGCAGATTTTGTTCAGATTCAGGTGTTATAAACAGCACTGTCAACAAAGTTCTGGTCCCAAGATCATCTTTCCTGTTGATATTGGATAACAAAAAAGAGAAAGCAGACTATTTTTAAGGTCTTAGTCTCTGTTTGAAGAGCTGGTCATTTTGAACCAATGGGCAAAACCTGTCACAATCTAGAAGGTGGATCTTTCTGACTGTCAAGGCCTACAAATAAATAGGTAAAGAAGTTACCTAAACAGACCATCTTATTTTTACTAGACTGGTCAACCTTTTACAGAAATATTGCTCGCATCTATTTTTTTACAGGTTAAGCTGTCATTATATCCATCATACATGCATACATACACTCATGCATATCAGGAAGCACAAACATCTTTATTAGGAGAAGAAAGCAGTACTATAAACATTAAAGAAAGCACAGTAAGGAAGAAAGGAGTTGCCCAGGAACAGACAGAGGAATCATGCCCTGTTTATATAGAGTTAAGCAGCAGCAACTTTTTCTGACAAATGAGGAAAAATGCCCTAAATTTGGATGTAGATAACTGTGGAACAAGATTCCATGCAGGGTTATAGTGGGAGCCCTATTCCTTGTAGTGTTAAAAGCTTGTCTGGACACAGCAGTGGAAAAAACATTTTAGGGAATGATCCAGGAACTAAATGACTTAATAAACTTTTTTCATCTCCAATTTATTCAGGCCTCTCCCAGTCTCACATGAGACTTTGTAGCAATGTATTCACATCCTCTAAACACATAGTTGCACAATCAAAATCATCACATTAAGTTACTTCATGGAATCAGTACACTCCGCAATAGTTCTTCTGAGTCAGATGAAGTCTTTTGCTTCACAAGTGAGGTGACTGGTAATATTTATTTATTCATCCATTTTCATTCAGTTCTGTCTTTCTAATAAGCTGCTTCAAAATCTGTATGCCCAGTTCCTCACAATAAAATAAGAAAGGAAGGCTGGTTTCTAGAACAACTAAAACAAATGTGAAAGAAAAGTAAAGTGGTATTTTGCAAAAGTCACATCAAAGAACCTTGAGGAAAATACTCACTGTCTGGTCGTATATTTTCTGCAAGTTACACAAAAGCTCTGTAAGATACGTTTAAGACAGTTAATTGTCTGGGTCTTTTTAAAGTGCTCTTAAATGCCATATCACTCTAACTATAAAGAGACCCACAGCCACCCGTCATTCTTGTAGCACGGAGCTGCATGGTGTCCTATGGCTCTGCACTAACAGAGTAGGGTCTGGTAGTGATGTCTCCAAAATGAATTAGAGTAGAGAAGTATTTTGCTGAGGAGCTACCTATTACCCAATATTGACAGATTTTCTAGGAAGAAACAGATTGTGCAGAAATGGGCTCAGTGAAGAAATCAAACAGCACGAAACAGCCCTTTCCCAGCTACTCCTAGCAGTGAGGCTCTTGGGGCAGAGCTGAACTGCCAGGACATGCAGAGCCCAGTACTGTCCTTTCTCCAAGGCTTCTCCATCTCCTACATGGAGCACCAGCCTGCACTTATACACAGTAACTGACAGGAGAAAAAGGAAGGGTAAACACAAGATGTCTGTGCTGTTTCTGTGTTCACATCTCCTCATTCATTACTCCTTTCAGCTTTCATCCCACCTTTGCTCTATCCTTGCAGGTAAAGCTATTTTCAGTAACATTAAAATTCCAACTATCTAAGGCTCCACACACACACACAAAAATGTGGTATACTGAAAATTACCTGTGATAATTGCTAAAGAGCAATCGTTTTTAAACAGTGATGTATGGATTTAGAAGATACACAAAAGCACATCTTATGACATGCTTTTGTTGCCAATGTCTGGAATCATATAAAATATGTTCTGCAGAGTAATTGCTTATGGCTCTCACTGATATGAGCTATCCAATGATATAACATGCATTTGTATAACTTTAGATGTACACTTTTATACTTGTCATTTTTATTTTATATCCTTCTTCATTTTCAGTGCCCGTGCTGTTATCAAAAGCTTAAAGTATACCAAAAAGCAGAAAATAGGCATAAAAGACAACTGAAAAAGGTGTAATAGCACAGAACTTGTGGAACATATTTCATTTGGGGGAGGCTGAAAGGGCTTCTCTAGTCACACAACAGTAGCACGGGGCAACTCATCCTTTTCTAACATACATGACAATTTGTGTGCTTTCTCCCCTGCCATACGCAGTTCCCTCATCAATGGAGACTTCTGCACATATCAGGTGGGTAAAATGCACCTGAGTGCTGCAAAAGAACATTCCAGAAACAGAAAGTTATTTTCCCCAGAACAGGAAAATGCTTTTACTTCTCACAGAATTTAAGGTAAAAAGGACTGTCCAATCTGGTTTTGAGTTTAAAATGTACCATTAAAGTTTCACACAAATGACCTCTATTAACCTAGAGATTTTGGTTAGCCCTTCAGCAAAATGAACTCTTGCACAGCCAGAGATTCACAAAGACAAAGGTGACACCACTTGTTTCTCTCTGCTGAACTAACAGGAATTGTTGACTTAGCTTAAGCAATATTTCTCGCTCAGGTCTCTCAGTATGTGTCCATTGCCTCTACTGCAGCTATTCATATGGATATAGAATTTCTGTGAAATTTTCCCAGGCTATCCATTTTATAAACAAGGTCTTCAGACAAGGGCTTATTTTTCAGGCAATTCTCATCACTGTTCAATTCTCTCATATTTAAAAAGAAAAAACATACAGATAATACAGGTATTTTGCCAGTCAGTATATCTCTTTCTCTCCTTTTTGTGGGAACTCCAGTTGTATCTCTGTCATTCGTGCATCTGTAGAGAGATGCAGTTATTATCTTCACGTGTTTTGATCTCCCAGTGCCTGGTCTGAATATGTTTTAAACAGTAGAGTTTGGCTCTTAAAGTGTCTTTATGGACTTTTCCTGGATTATTTATTCATTAATAGTAAGTTGAGGTTCAGAGGATATGATTTTTTTTAATATATTTTGATCATGTGGTCTGGAAGAAACAAAGGTTTTTAAAACCTTAAATTCTTTCATGCTCTCTCTTTCAGTCCATAAGATACAGACAGCAGGAGGTGTAATGCTTACCATTACAGAAAACTAGCCAAACCAAGATCAAATTCCAGGTTGAAAAGGAAAATGTTCTGAACCACAGTCCCTACAGGAAGAAGAGGTGGGAGCATAAAGTGAGACCTTGTCTACATTCTTCTTTTCTTCTCCAAAAGCATACTGAACTGGGTAGTCCAGTGTCAGTCATTTGTGCATAAATTAAGGCCCCACAGGAGTTATGTAAATACTTCCTCTTCATAAAACAAGTGGAATGCAGACATCACTACCAAAACATTCAACCTTTCTTTTGTCCCAAAGGTAGGGCAGCTATGCATTGCTCTTTACGAAGAGAAAATTGCATGACTTCAAGCACCATTCTGTCAGACTGTCCATCTGATGCCATCTGTCACACAGCCACAAAATGCAATGAAATATTGGCAGGAAAGTTCAGCTTCTACTGCCATACCACCAACATCTGCCTATGATGCTTGGTACAAGATAATGAAATAGGAGGCATTATTTTTGAAGTGCTAGGAAGAAGTGCTAGGAAACATTCACAGGCAGAGGAACACAATCCTATGTACTGCTATGTGTTAATGGGGTCCTTCACACCATTTTGGTTGAGCAGCAATGGGCACTGTCCTAAAAAAAATCCCAAACATGGCTTGGGCATCGACATAGGCATAAGAGTACACTCCTGGCAATGTGAATATGGGCTTTCCAATTCCAGTTGGCCATAGTAGTGGAGAACAAATCCAGCCATACTTCATTTTGTAGTGAAGATACAGCTTCAAATACTCCAGTCAAATCTTCTTGTGATTTTACCAAGTGATATTTTATATTTTATATAATCTATCTATGAGGACAATATGAGTGATTAATTTGCCCAGATTCATCTTTTGACTGTAATAAGCTGTCAGCCAGGTATGTCTGATTTCACATGTACTGATGGCAGGGGCTGTCTTTTCCCTGATAGCAGTAATACGGATGATACAGACATGTTTATTTATCTAAATAAAATAATGCTCATTTATCTAAAGGTTCTTGCTAAATTAACAAAATATGGAGGTCCCCTTGACACACTCCTGTGGCTAAGGATGCACATGTTGGAAGTGCAGAGATCTGAGCCACCCCTGACTGAGCTAGTTTTGATCCTGGAGCTCCTCATCAGACAAAGAACGATACTGCAGTCTACCTGAACAATCCTTCAGAATCGGTGCGCCAGGCATTGATCTTGGCAAAACTAGACCAGTGACCTTCCCTTACCCCAAACTCCTTCTGAAACTCATACAAAACATATATTGAGAAATTACATTAAGAAATACTAATGTCCATGAGGAGACATTCAGAAGTCCGTAAAGGAGACAGTGGAGTGCAAGTGTTGCTTTGGCTCTGCATTTTCAATGTGGTATATTCTAGAATGCAGCTTAACTGTAGTAATGCATTACTTCTTGAATAATGCAACTGCCTCTCCGTTGGTGATATGATTTGTCTGAATGACTTTCCTAAAGAATCAAATTAACACTGAAGCAAATCATTTCAATTTTTCTGTATTTTAAAAGTAAGGGGATTTAAAGTCGAATTTGTTGTTGAGTAAATGCTAGAGAATTCAGTGAAGCAAAGAACAAATTGCACCATCAGATATAATCCTGTCTTTAGCTATGTAAGAGAATCAAGATAAACATCAGATCAATGCATGAGCTTCACACCAACATTCCTCAAAGTTTTATAACCAGAGTTTGCATTTTGATAATTCATTTCACATTCCAGTTTCATTTCTATGTACACAGTGGGAGTCAAAATAAGCTGAATGTCATTCAACATGTGGATTTACTTCCTTTCTTCTCGTTCAGGATTTTGGAAGACTCACTAGGTTGCATTTCAATTTTTGAAATGCCAGAATTATAAGAGAAACCTTACAGGATGTATTGAACTGCATGCACTTCAGAATTATATTATTTCACCAATTAACAACTTTTCCAGAGCTACGCAATTGGTGCTAGCAACATCTATTTATTGCTGAATAAAATAATACAAGGTGGCATGTTGCACTTTAAGAGGGCTGCTCCGAAAGTAATGCCTCCTATTTTATTATGTTGGTTCATGATGTTAGAAGCAGATGTTAGTCTTAGAGTAGCAGAGGTTGAACCTTCTCAGAAATATTCCAGTACATTTTATTACTGCATGACAGATAGTATAGAGGAACAATTTAACAGAATGGTGTATGACATGGATATGTGTATGAAGCAAAGTTGTGGAAGTGAATTCCTCCATGAGAAAAAAGATGGCATCCATTGACATTCACTGGTGTTTCCTGAAAGTTTATAGAGATCAAATAGTGGATATGAGCACAGTGAGGCAGTGGGTGGTGCATTTTAGCACTGGTAACAGTGACAGTGGGTCACCTTCGCTGGTGCAGATTTTTATGAGAGTTGCATGCAGGCTCCTGTTCACTGCCAGCAAAAATGCACAGCTAATGGTGAGGGCTATGTTGAAAAAAGTGTTTTGTAGCTGAAAATTTGGTCCAAATAGTGTTATTGTGGCCTTTTTATCTGTTCTAGTTTCTACAGAAATAAATATGAAGCATTACTTTCAGAGTGACCCACATACTTACTTGCCCTCTCTTGACTTTTCTGTATGAGTCTGGAATCAACAAGGTACCTAGGCCTTCATTTAGTAAAGCATTCAAGTGGGTGTTTAACTTACTTCTTAAGTATGTGATCTCATCAATGAAACCACTTATTTGATATTTGGCCTTAAGGACCTTGCTGAAAGAAAGTCTTTAAAATTTAAAAAATGATCCAAACTAAAACAAAACAAACAAAAAACAAACAAGTAAACAAACAAACAAAAAAAAAAACAAACAAACACAAAACCATTATCCCTGTTAGAGTGCTGCCATCTAGTTAGATGAGTGTATACAACAAATCCATTTCCAGTGCCTGCAATATCTCACTGTCCAGTATGCTAGGCTACATGCAGCAAAATTACTAAAAAAAAAAAAAAAAAAAAAAAAAAAAAGGCTCTGTTGTACAAGTTCTTTTGCCTTTGTGAAAACCTAAATATATACTGAAATTAACTGACTGAGTCCCAACAATCCAGGGATCCTGCAAAACATAAAGCAGACTTGTTGAACTTTGTTGACTTATGCTGCAGTGCAGTAAGCACCTTCAGTTGTCACTGGCTTCTGCAGAAGTTGACAGTGCTGTACAACTCGTGGGAAGCAGTGAGTGGCAGGAAAAGCTGTTTTTCAGTAGCCCGGGTGATATGGGAATCTGAGAGCTCATATTTTATTTAAGCATGATATTTTAATATGTGATTTTGAAATGGAATAAAGCTCCACTGTTGCTTTGATATTATTTTCTGCAATATTTATTATATTGCACTTGTATGTATTGATTTTCGACTTGGTACCCATCATACTTCAGGCAAATGTGAATGCTTATGAAAACAGACTATAGCCTGAAATAAAACGAGGTGAAACATGCTTATGAAGTGATAGAAACTACATTTTAACAAGCAGTGCTCTGTACTACTTCAGAACAAAAAAACCCAACCTGTTAGCTGCTTGAAGAAATTAAAAGGTGCTCTACTGAAAGGTCTGTGTTTGTGGTTTGATTGTATCTTGCTAAATTCCTATATCAAGGTGAAGAACACAGGTGTAGCTGGATTTTATGTTCTGATGTATGCAGATAATGATATACATTGTGCAGAACTTTTGTTTTATACTTGGAAAGTGTGCTTTACCGGAATGCAATTAAATTAAATTAAATTAAGTCAATTAAATCTAAATAATTCCTGTGTCAATTCACTCTATTCTTACAGAAGTAAGATAGATTTTGGATTTAACAAATATGCTGTTCACCTGAAAAAAAAAGTCATGTATCTGGTCTTTATTTTTTATTACCTCACACTTGTTTAGCAGCCCAGTTTCTTGCAGCCTTGACCAGATGCTTTGGATCCTTCCAGCATGCTCAGGGTGATTAGCGTAGTTGCCACACATACACTGGTGCTTCAGCATCAGGCTGTCATACACAACACCTTCAGTGCAAAGACAACATGAAAAGAAACAGAGAGTAAAACAAATGCAGTCTCGTGTCATGTGTACTGTTGCATAATTGGATGTTATTTACCAGTAGAAGAAAGATGAAAATTCTGGATCTTTAAGTCCTCTTTTATTTCAAAGACTGAATTTTGACTTAGAATCTACATCTTGTTATACCAAGAAAGTTGAAAAAAGATGCTAAAAAATTACACTAAAACATAAAAGTCAAAAAGAAAAAAAATGGAGTGGTGTCTTGTTATATCTTTTATGAATAGAAAAAATCGTGTTACTCTTTATCTCCTTTTCTTTAAGAGGTTGGTTAACCTCTGTATAACAAGAAAATGTTATATATTCATGACGGTCTAAGAAAAATCATTCAGAAAAGTCTTTTAAATTAAATTTAGCGATGAAAATGACCCTCTGTGTTCATACTACTTAACTGATACAATGTATTAGTCCAGATCTCAAAGTACATCAGACGGAAATTTCAGAGCTGCAGCAGTGGCAGCCGGAGCCCTTTTTCCGTTCCATCCACTGCTCAATTAGGAGCAAATCCTATTGTTATACCACAGTGCAAGGTTTGTTTGGAATTTTCTATACTTGTTTCTCCCAGGAGAGAACAACCTTATAACACAGAGATATCAATATCACATTGCTCTGTAGCTGTGCACTTGAAGAAAGAGAGCAGTTCTAAAAACTAGGCTAAGGACTAAAGAAATCTTCAGTTTTCAAGGCTCTTAAACCAAGTTTGAGAACTGAAATATAATTTTATTTATTTACTCATTGTTTGCATATCCCACAGAAATGTCTGGAATCAGAAATATTTTTCTTACCCCTGTCAACCATTTTTATTTCAGAAACATTTTTCTTCCTCTTATGTTTGAAAAGAACTCAAATTGACAACTTCTCCAAGCTACAAAACTTTGTATTCAAAACCTCCTTCTATGCCAATAGAAGTATGCTATGCCAACACAGTTCTGGGGAAATTTTGTTAGCCTGCTACTGAAGAGTCAACCAGTGAAGAAAATACAATATTAATTATTGTACACATTAATATTAATGTACAGATTCAAGAACATGCTCAGTACCACCCTTACTTGGCAAAGAAGTTGAATGGATGTTAAGTGTTTAAAAACCCTGCTGAATGGGAATCTGTAACTTGGCTAATGCAAAGTTAAGGTTTTGAGATGATTCAGTTAGAAGCCAAAATTTTTAAATTATACTGCTCTAGGTAGGCTGACATATACGCCATATTACTTATCTCATGCCCTTTAGATCCAATACTTAGGGATCATGCTATTTAAGTAAAAATAAAGTTATGACAATTGTGTTTAGCACAAGGAGAACACAAAAATAATACCTACATGTAGCATGACTAGTTTTATGCTAAAAGATGATCCAACATGCAAAACAATACAATAGCAATAAATTCTAGTACAGATTTTTCAGCTTGTTTTCTTTAAAAGAAAAAAAATGAACCAGGGAATCTGGAACAAATAAACTAATGCAGCTTAAAATCTTTGCCGGTATTGCCAAAAAAAGTTAATAATTTCCTTTCTCTGCAGTTATTTGCACTGCACAGTTTATAAATTTTGAAGCTCTATCATCAGCTCTTATAAGTTATTTGAAATAGCAAGTATGCATGCAAATAGATGCATGCTTGCATACTCATCTTTCCTTATCTTGGCGCCGAGTTTTAACTTCTAAAGTGTGTCGCACACCCAGACCATAGAACTATTCAGTGGTCATCATACTGCTAATTAAGAAAACATTCCCTCCCATCCCTCTGCCCAAGTGGGAAAGTAAATGGATGTGCAATAGGATTTTCAAAGCACTTGGCCAAAGTAGGCACTGACACCCAATGGACTTCAGTGAACATAAATGCTTCTAATTACTAACAAAAGTAGTTTAGCAGTTGAAAGAATCACTTGTCTGCCTTTCTTTCAGCAATCATTTTATTCTGAGTATTCTGTACAAGCTTAGAGTTGCATAGTCCAAACTGATAAGAGACCAAGATAGAGATATATAGCTAGAGATAGAGTTACGTAGACAACAGAATATAAATATAAATGTAATCTTGATGTGCGTGAATTATTTTGTCCAATCAAAGTTTGGTCAAGTCAGCAGTAAATGGCAAAAAACTTTTAAATAGTCAGTTATTGACACTAAAGAGTGCAAAAACTTATTTATAAACAGGGTTAACTTAAGAAAAGACTGAGATATGTTTTCATTTATTCCAAGCATCTAAATCAATTTAGGATGCGCAAGTAATTCAGATATGTTGCTGCTGGCTGTAGAGCACATGTGCTTGGTACAATAGATGTAGTAGAGTTTACTGCTAAAAATAGCCTGTAGGATTTCCCTAACAGGATTCAGCCAATAATCTCCCCACCCCCACAGAAAGAAAAGAGAGAAAGACAACTGTTTTCAATTGCAGACGGCTGTGAAATATTTATAAAAGATGGTTATTCTGTCTCTCCAGAACAAATGTCTACAGAGCCAGATTGCGCTCTCAGATTCCTTGTGTAAAGCTGAGCAGCTCCACTGAGACTGGTGGATTTATTCTGGATTTACACCAATATTACTGAGGTCAGAATGTGTCCCTGATGACAGTCTGAAATGGTGGCAACACGGAGCCATAGAATAATGGAAGACACCACACAAAAGAAACTGAATTTGCATTAAGTCAGAAAAAGCAAAATCTCCCCACTATGGCTCCCTAATACTCATTCTTTTCTAAAATTCTTTATTTGGATCAACTTTAAATAACATTTTGAACAAAGGGGGGGAGATCAAGAGACTTAAAAATTGTTATCTAACAGCATGCTTTGAAGACGGTGAAATGTTCTGGAAAACAGCAGTAACAATGAGAAAACCCTGAAGAAATTAGTAACAAATAAAGCTGTGCTATGAAATATGATATCACACCATACCTCCAGAAGATTTGCAGACTTTTGAACAGGACACTGAAGCATATATGCAGTGAGCTTCCTTTTGTTGTCTTCTGTGAGTCTTTTAGAATGAGTTTATGATGTCTTGGGAACTCTATGAACTACATCAAGACAAGCAGTGGCCTGCCCTAATACTGTCTCTGCACAGCTGCCTTTTTGAGAAACTCATGGTAAGTGAATTAGCAGATTTCCTTCCATAAAGTCCAAATGTTTCTCACCCAACAAGTAAAATTCTTACATTAACTACATTTAAAATAAAAATTATCTTTTTCATCTCTGAATGCCACTTTGCTTCCACTCACTTGCATTGTTTTAAGGATGTCTTAAAACATGTGTATATATGTATGTATATATATATATATATATTTTTTTTTTTTTTCCTAAGTGTATCATTGTAGTCTCAAGAAATACAAGCTTTTGGAGTATGACAAATTTTGATAACTATTGTGAACGAATTAGTACCTCTGGCAAAAGCCTGAATAAACAGTATATCTAAGTACTCGCTTCCCATTTCTTATGCACAGAATAAGTAAAACTTGCTTATAAGCATATTGTAAAATTACACTGGGATTCAAACTTTTAAAAAGAAGCTAGTTTACCTAGAAGAAATTTTTGTCATCATTTTCTTCCTTTCACTGATGATTCGGAGTGTTCAAATCCTTTGACTTCGGAAAGCCTAGACCACACTGGTAGGAGATTCTCCCTTCATTATTGGACTGTCCATGTCTGACCAGAAAACTTTCTATTGTAGAGACTCCACATAACTGCTAGAGGATACCTGAGTTGAAGTCAATATTACCTTCCAGTCAGAGCTGCAACTTTGCTTTTTCTATAAGGGAATCAACCTTGTAGTGTAGTCTGACTTGTCAAATGAAGACATGGAAAATTATTCTGCAGCTTTCCTACTTACTGGAGATTTTTCTTCAACTTATTGATGGCCTCTTTACAAAACAAGCAACAAGAACATGGAGAAAAAAGCCAGAGGATAGAGAAATGAAAGAAAAAGCTATAAATGACATAAAGACACAAAAAATGCACCTGTTACTATATAGCCAGAGCCAGTCAATGATAATAATGTATGACTGTGTGAATATTAACCCCGTGATTTATCAGCTGCACTGGTTGACTTGAAGCCAGCACAGCACCATAAAACCAAGGAACAGTAAGGCTAAAACTGAATGTAATGCTGCAGGAGGTATTCAAGGCATTTAAATCTGTTGATCCTACATGAACAAACGCATTTGCCCTGCCTATTAGAAGTAGTCTTTAGGGAATCCTACCAGTTGTGTAGACATGCTGGCTGGGCTGGTCCACAGCTGGGTGAGGTAATGTGGAATCAGTGGGGGAAGATGGAGTCCTGGACACCAGCCGATGTTTATCTAATCCCGCCATGCCAACTGTAGCCATCTGAGCCTGGTAGATTTGCAACTGGTGGACACGCTGATGCGCCAGGAACTCCTGTTGCCAAGAAAACAGCACAGTAGAAAGAAACGTGAGATGGGATCAAGTAAGACACTGAGGGAAACATGTCAACAAATTAAGTTCATTAGGTCATGGCTGTAATAAACAGTGTGGAGAAAAAAAGAAAAAGGCTCCTAAGACCTAGTCAATAAATCCATTCAACAGATGTTTTCACACTGACAGTGTAGGCTGCTGACTTAGCTGGAGAGGAGGTGATGGCAGGCAACCTGTCAGTTCTCCCTGACAGCTTCACATGCAGAGAGTTACAAAAAATCAAAGTTTCTCTAATATCTTGAATACATAATATAGTGTTAGAACATGCACTTTATGATCCTATACAAATAAATTAAAATCGCATCTTCCCATAGCACTGAAAGCAAAGAGCAGTGTCCTTATTACTCAGTATCAAATTTGCTAAGCAACTATGAGTTCCTAGAGCTGTCTGGAAAACAGTAATAATTTGAACATCCATTTTCACAAATCACTTAGAAATTCAGAGATTGTTACATGAGATCCCACTTTGGGACCATCCTTTTTTTTGGTCACGACTACTGCTGGCAGTAGGCAGTGACAAAGACTTTAAAGAAAGATAGGCAAGAGTGAAACATCGAGACAGAGTAGAAAAGTAAATTTCATCTTCTATCTTGCTTATCAACAGATGACAACTTTTGCTAGCACAACAAAGGCCAAAGCCATGGCCCTGCTGAAGTCAATAAGAACCTTGGTGTTCAATCACTCCACAGATCACGATTGTTTCCCCATTTGCCCAATTTTTTTTCCTTGTATTTTTTTTTTTTTTTTTTCATCTAATTCAAATTCTCAACTGAGAGTGAATTCAAGAAAGAGATTTCAAAACCACTTTGCCATACAAATTCAGTTGAAATTCACACTTGCATCTTAGAATTACAGACTTTATTTATTCTCACCCAGGTCTGGTATATATTGATAGATAGATCTATCTGTAAAGGTATAGATTGTTTTTTTTTTTTTTCTTCTCTTCAAACTAGCATTGCTGAATGCTGCAAGCCAAGGCAGCAGATCAAGTTCTGTAGAAAACCAGGCAGGAGTAGTCCTGGCTCAGGTGCAGAAAAAATCCATAGCTTGTGGGAAATTAGAATGTCTGCCCTGCATGCAAGAAGGGAGGCCTTTATGAGAACGAGTGTACATTAGTAACATCTGAAATGAGGACAAATGCTTTAAAAAGTCAGCCTCAAACCCACATTAATATCCAAGGTCACCACTTCAGTGAAAAGATGTAAGGTCATGAGAAGGGTAAATCACCTGAGACCTTGTCATAAATGACTAAATAAAGAAGAAAATATGAGTAGGCAGAAGAGACTTTACAAGAAGTTTCTTGGTTTGAGGTCATGAACCATTTCCCATTCTTTAAATACAGACCCAAGCTTTTTTTTTTTTTTTTTTTTTTTTTTTTTTTTAATGTATGAAGACAGGATGGTGTTATACATTTCAACATTTCAGGAAATATCTGGAAGCATCTAAACAGGTCTATGTATTCCCTTTCCTTATAAGCATAACAAAACATTTAGGAATTCTTCCCTGAAATACCCAAGTGCCTTATTTTCTTTACTTAATTTCACTAATGATTTTAATTGTGATAAATCTTCAGAGGGGATTAATTTTGTTCTCTTTGGCATGCACATCTTTGTGACCTTTGTTGAGGGTGCGCGTGACTGGAAAGCAGAAGAAAAGAATGCATGGATATTATTGTGTTAAATATTTTCCCAAAGGAGAACAGAAGTAGATAAATTCCTTTATGAGTATTTAGCATTACTGTTTACAGCGTTGACTGATTGCTCAGTAGTGAAGGCACAAGAGGTACTTTGCTCTCTGTGGCAAAAGTACTCCCTACTCTCCAGGATCAACTGGTTGGTGAATCTGCGTTCTGGCAGTTTGCATTTAAAGGTTTAACTAGTTCAGGTTTTATCCAAGGTTTTTGGCTAACTTCCTGATTAGGTTACATTTTACAGACAGCATGTATTTATGCAGCACGTAATTTTTTTTCCAGCAATCTGTATATTTATGCTGTGAATGTCTGTGATATTCTGTGTCACGTAGACAAGTGGATTAATACGAAGAGTAAGGTGGATAATCAACATGCTTATCTGGCTCCCTTAAAACCCACCTGGCCTCTGGAAGGGATTAGTGCAACACAATGAATTCATCTTCAGGTTTTATGTGCTACAGCACTGCAAACACATGTCCATCTCTCCAGCAATATGACAAAAGTGCTATTTACACATCTGCAGGGTTAGTGATTTGTGCAAATATATTTTGAACATTTCTTAGGTAACCTGAGCCTTGTCTGCCCAGCATGGAGTCTGCTAGTTCCAGGTGTCCGAGATTAGTTCATTAATAGAGGCAAGCAATTAGGGCCTTGGCTGGAGCAAACCTGGGGCCATTCCTCACCTTCCCAAGAAACCAGCTCAGGCCTTCAGTAATTATCTTCAGGGGGAGATTTTTAGAATCAGTATCTAAAGAGAAAATGACTATTTTGGATGTGTGGGATCTAAATATTGTTATTCTTTTCATATTGCTGTAGGGATTATTGTTTAAGGTGAGCTGGAAGAAATCTGGGTTGGTGTGAATCCTCTTTATGTGTAGATATGACTTCTACGTTTTAGTATTTAATGATACAAATATTGAGAAGATTTGAATGAATGTTCTTGTTTTAACTGCCTATGAGAACTGGCGTCTTGCAAGTATATATATGGTTGGATCATTATGTGGTCTGTGTTTTAATACCCTTCAATTTCAAGAAGGAAAAAAAAAAAAAAGTGGGATTCACTGATAACTTTTCTTGCTGGTCTGTTATTGAATTCAATTTGATACACTTGTATTTAACTTAATTATTCTAGAATTTCTACGCCTATATCATAATCCTAAGTATGGATATCCACATGTTTCTTGTCAGCACTGGCTCTTTTCTTTTATTCTTTATGATACAGAACTTTCCTCTTCAAAACTTCAAAATTTACAATTCCTAATATCAAGTTTAATGCTTATAGTTTCCCGTGTATTTGTAGCCAGCCTTACAGCTGTCTGTTCTTACACCTATAATGCATTCTGCTAAATTATACAATGTGTACTGTCAAGGAAATGTTAAAGATCATTCAAATGTTAGCCATCCTCTGCCATTCCTTTCCAATTCTGCGGGAGCTGGATGCATCCAAGGCATTGATATTTAGGCTGACCTGTGACTGCACCCACACAGACAGCCTCTAATTCATGTAAAGCTGAGCTCTGTGTGCTGCAAGATGCCCACAGTGGCAGCCTGTGGCTCAAACCAAAACATCATCACCCAAAGACTGATTCTTGAAGAAGTCCTGGGCACCTAGGAACTTCTCATGTGATTCAGATGTAAGTTGTTGACAGAAATCATGGATTTTATGACAGTATTAATAGGATTAAACTATTACTTCCAGAAGTGAAGGAAAAAATGAAGAACACAAAGAAAAGGAAGCAGTATCAAGACGAGTTCTAGGTTAACAGAAATTGAAGCTCTTTTGATGGGGTAATTCTGTAAATACTGTTCTGCCTGCTCTCCTCAAATGAAACTGTAAGCAGTTGTGTTCAAGAGCTGAGGAAAAAATGGGTCATAAAATATTCTGAAAATATTTGTACACATAAACTAGAAAGTGCAGAAATTATTTATTTCTATTTTGGTAGTCTAGATTCATAGAGATGTCCCTAAATATGAAGATGTTGAGGTCTTTTAAATTGTTCTATCACTTACAGAAACACATGACCAAGAAACCCTACCAATGCTATTTTTGACAAAGCCGCATGTAAAGCCACAAACTTTAATAGTCTTTCAATAAAAGCGAAAAAAAAAAAAAAATCAGTATTATTATCTGAAATATATAGCCAACCACAAATTCAGTCAGCATTTCCATGAAAAAAAAAAAAAAATAGCAAGTACAGACACTGATACACACATTGAAATTAAATAAATGGATTTAGGGCAAGTAGAAGAGTAGACAGGAAGAAATGGTGCAGAAGATAGTGTTGAGGCATCTGGATATATTAGTTCAGAAATTATCAAGGCTTTCACTGCAACAGAAAACTCAATTCTGTAGTCCAAAGAACTCTGTATTGACTATGAAATAATGAAACAGTGATGAAGTGCCATTAACTGAGTGTTGGGTGAGATGCAGAACACCAGTATGAAGTCTGTATCCTGGATCTGCCTGGTGTCTTGGGCAGAAAAGGCCTGCCTTGGGCAACAGGTTGCTGCATACAGAAGAAACAACCCTATGGCTCATCTGCCTTCCTGAAGACTGTAAAAAGACTTATTTCAGCTGCTGCCAGGGTTGGTCTTAGTACATGGTGGCCATACAGCAGTGACTGCTTAGGGCATGGTTGCCATGCAAAACGGCTTTGTTTTCCACCTCTGCAGAGTTATCTGCCCCTCAGTTGACATGCCACCCTTCTAGGACAGGGGCATCTTCATGCTGGCAAAGCAGATCATTAGACTGGCAATGTTTTACCTTGTAGTTAAAGAGGAGGGGAAGAATGACTACTACTGATGGAGTGATAAAAAGGTGCTTCTGTATTGAGTCATATGCAGGGATGTATTCCTTGCCTTGAGTTATGTGACAAAACACATGGGTTAGGGCTGGGATCACAGCCAGGTCATAGGATAGCAGCAGGGTCAGGAGCTCTACCTCTTACCCTTACTGCTGCTCTAGAAGGTAGATGGACTGCTGATCTTTGGTTTCAAAGAGAAATGGTCAAGTTTATGTCCTTATATAGGGAATTTCCAAAAAACTAAGCATCTGTATAAGTGAGGAATCAAAGTGACCACATGGACTGACAGACCTTCACTTACAATGGCGAAGTCACTACAGTGAAATATGTGTGATTCAGAGAAGAGAGAGTGATACGAAATTTTGGCTGGGACTGGCAACAAGGTGGGTACTGAAGACTGCTTCCCACCTTCTGCTGGTGGGAAATTCCAAAGGCCCAGCTGAACTTCT